TAATCAATAAATGTGAACTAGTCGGATTTCATTAATTAAACGTTTGTTATCTTCGTAAGAGTAGTATTCGTGTTGCCAAGCATAGGGACTAGGCTTTAAAAAAGTAGCTTTATATTCAAAACCTTTGACATTACTTTTGAAAGATTTTCTTTTATTTAGGTTAACATGGAAAAAACATGTCCATTTTGGCCAGATGATCGGCAGTGCTTGAGCAAAGAATGTGGCATTGGTTATTGTGACGATGAGGTCCCATCAGGCTTGAAACAACCAGCCAGTATATCTGTGGTTCGTTCTAAGCTCAATCTATCTTCTTTGAAAAACGATTCTGTTATAACTCAGATTGGTGGAATTGATTCAACCTGCGAAAAAGAAGAAAGCAATGCGTTCGATCCGTTGGACACGACTCTAACGGAAGGTGACCGGCGACAACTAAATGACATGGATTGGCACGACGAAAATGAAGATAAATTTTGTGACTTCGAAGGTTTGCATTATTAGACTTGTTGAGAGCCTTTTTTAATCCCTCTGTTGCAAGTGATGATAAGTACTTCTTGAAAATTCAATATCTTTTCATGAGTTTTTCCACTTTTCACACTTCGCAAATATTAATTTCCAGACTTGGAAATACCATGTGCTGAAGAATTTTCTTTGTTTTAATTGCAGAGCAGTAAATATTAGTCGAATGTTATTTACTGATCGAATTTTACCGATATTGAAATTATTTGTCGAGTGATCCAGTTAGGGAAATATTTGTTCCTTCATTTTAGATGAAGGATCAGCAGATATGCATTATGTAGATTTATCCAGAAATCCTGAACGATACACGGGTTACAAAGGTGACAGTGCGCAGAAAGTGTGGACTTGTATTTACCAAGAAAATTGTTTCAAGTTAGTCAAAAAATTGAGTTACTCGATGAAACAAGAAGTTTTACAGTACAGTCAGTCATATGTTCTATTATAAACTTGTTGTTGACTACTATTTGACAAGAAATAAGTAATTTAAATTACTGTTCATTGCTTTATAATCTAGAACTTTGTAACGATTACTGAACAGTGGACAGTTTTTTTCTTTTGAGAACTTTTCGTTTAACTTTGAGGGTTTGCTAAAAAGTTATTCAATTAGATGATCATATACGTAAAAACTAATAATTTAAACCAAAGATAAGTTCAACTAAATGATATAAAAATAGTTGCACTGGTTCACTGTTTGCTTCCATTTAGTAATTAAAATTTCGTATATCCCTTTTTTCAGACCAAGTATGAAATTCGACAAAAATTTTCTCATTCATCCTAATTCCCTTGGTAAGTTTAAGTAGTTATACATATTTGTTGCAGATATGCATGAATTCTTTGAGTATACAAAGTTATTTTATCTAAGTAGGAAATGTACAATAATTGACCACATGTGCTGTTTGTTATTGTTATGAAATTCTCCCAAGATTTTTGCAGGATTATGCTTTGAAAAACGCGTTTTCTATCGTCTAATTTCTGGTCTACACTCTGCAATTACTATATCAATCGCCACTAACAGTTTTAAATCAAGTGATTTTTTACAAGCTGTAAAATATCTATATCTTTGACTGTACTAAGTATTTTTCGTCTATTTCATTTATAAGTTTCATTTATAATTTTATAAGCTTATAAAATTTATAGTGCCTAGTGTTTAATGGAAATTGTACCTAAGATCTGTTTTGTATTAAGATTAAGATGTGATGATTTACTCAAATATCTTAAAACACAATTAGCTTATTCAATATGTAATTTATCATTAAAATAGGGAAATAAAAAGGAAGGAATTTTGATTAAGATTGGTCATTTGCTGCTTGTACAGACATTGTTGCAATGATATGAATGTTGATGAAGAGTGGTCATAGGAGAAGCATGAAAATTCTAATTAACTAATTCTTTAATTCTGTTTTCATGTAGATCCTGCTGGTTTTGGAGATGGAATTTGGTTCAGAAATACGGAACTTTTCAAAAATCGTTTCGGGACAAAGTGGACACTTGAAGGGCCACAGAGGCTGAAAAATGTTTATTTCGTCTATCTTCTTGAATTGAGAGCTCTCGTAAAAGCATCACCTTATTTTCGCAAGGAATTATTTTACACTGGGAACCCAAAGGTTTTTTTTTTGGATTTTGAAAACTATAACTAAGTCTTTTTTCTGAAGCATGTACTTGAAGGATGTTTCGAGACGATTCATTTGACTTAGGTGATTTGAAACCTTTTGTTCTAGGATGATGCAGAAACACGCAAAACAGTGGAAGAATTAATGAATACTTTGAAAAAATTTAATGGTCCTTTCGACGAGACTGAAATGTTCACAGTAAGTTTCAAATATGTTGGAAATTTTAGGAAAAAATAAAACTACTCTGTCAAAAAACTCGGCTCTGTTCTTTTTATCTATGAAGTTTTTGAGTCATCGCACATGTTTCTAGTTTGATTCAACAAATTTAAAACATGTAAAACAGTTCTGTCTACTACAGCTTGAGCTGCATAAAGTTTTACAATGATTAGGAGTTTTTATTTTCTTGTTTATAGGGTGTTGAAGCAACGGCTCGGGAATTGCGTGAAGAATTTCGTCAACACTTTTTCAACATATCGCGGATAATGGATTGTGTTAGCTGTGATAAATGTCGTTTATGGGGAAAGATACAGACACATGGGATGGGCACAGCGCTTAAGATTTTATTTTCAGATTTACCTACTTCTCATTATAAAACTCAAGATGGCAGTGTCTATCCGCCTTTCCAATTAACAAGGTGCAGTTTTTCTTAAATTTACTTAAGCTTTTATTTAAGATTCATTAAAGCTTTATTTTTCGATTTTTTGTTATTTTGTGATTTTAGCTTCTTTCAAGATTCAGTTTAAGAATGAAAAACTTTCTAACTTACAGCAGAGGATAAATTGTAACACGAATTTCCGTACTATTTGACTCATCATTGTTTCTCTTATTTAGGAACTTTTACTTCCTCGTTAGTACTGGTTTTTCCACTAAATCTGCTTTCACCATCATTACTGTGTTTTCTCTAAAGGAGCTTTTTTTTGATTCATTTTTATTCGTTTTAAGAAATTATTGATGTTTCAGGAATGAGGTCGTTTCGTTGTTTCAAAGTTTCGGTAGGTATGCATCAAGTATCAGGGAAGTTGATGAATTCCGTCGCGCATTGACTTAATATAACTTTTTGAAGAAAAAAATATAACTTTTTTTGAAGAAAAAGAAATATGTGGGGAGTGGAGATAGCTTATGCTCTGGTCTTAAGGAAGTGGTTGGTATTCAAACTTTTTCTATGTGAATTTTGCTCAAAATTGGCATTTATTTTTTAATATAAAACTTTTCAGTTATTGATCAGTGATGATAGGTATGCATTTGATTCGGATTAATTTTTATTTGTTTTCAATCATAATATAGTGTCAGTGGTTGGAATAGCTGTTGTTTATTGTATAACTTAAAAAAAAAAAAAGCATAACTTATAAGACATCATTCAATTCAGTGCCTTTAGTTAGTGTCATTTGAGATGAGTGAAAATTTCGAAACACGGTCTTTTCATACCTTGAATCGAGAAAAAAATGGAATTTATCATCTTTCCAAGAGAGGTGTATTACATTGTGAACAAGTCCAGTCTTTTCTTTTTCATCTTTTGCTAAGATCATTTGCTTTTGTTGTTATTTATTTAATAATTGCAATGGACAATGATGATGTTATTACCTAACAGTTAATAGAACTGTTATCCGTTCCCATTAATGGTGTTGGCTGACATTTGGTAGGGAAGGAATAGGTGAGTAAACTGCCATGGAAATGAAGCAGTTTTCAAGATTTGTTTTGGAAAAGTTTGCGTTTTATTGTATTCAGTCTTTTTGTACACTGCATCGCAAAAGTGTCCATCGCAAAGAAAGCGTTCATTTTTCCTTACGGGTGCTAATTGTTCAGAATTTTGGGAAACTTTTGTTATTATTTTCCTTGGAAGCTTTAATTTCATTATTTCTAATTAATTAGATTTATTCATCTCTAATGTTTTTATAATGTAAATATAATATGCCTATGGAATCGTTGGATTGGTAAATAAAATAAAGGATTGGTAATTAGTATTTTCGCTATTTGTTTTTTTCAATGTCAAAATCCTGATTTCCACATTAATTTGCCATTTAATCTCTTCTTGGTATTATATGTAATAGATATTTTAATGCTAGGATTTCAAGCGAATTTAGTGGAAAAAATTTGCAACGTCTCAGGCTTAGAGATCATTTGGAACTATTTTGTATCAGGAAGTTCTTTGCAAGCTTCTTCACAATCGGTTTCACTTAGAATATGTTTGCGCATTAATTTATTTGAGTAAGTTATAATTAAACTCATAAAATATGTACGAATGGAACGTCAGTATATTCGGAATATTTAGTCACATCAACAAAATAATGATAGAGGCACTTAGTGAGTAAATGCTATAATATTAATGAAGTGATTTGATCAAAAAGTTGATTATATAGAATATCAAAACGGCGATGAAGGTCATATATGATATGGACAACTGAATTGAATATTTTCATCAGAAATGATTCAAGTAAATAAAGATGCTCACAGTGACCGCTAGAATAATCTATGATAATATAGGGATTGTGTCTTCGTATTATCTTTGTTTCCAACTTAAAGATTTACAGATAGTGATGGGGGAAACTTCTTGTTTATTAATTGTCGTGATTTATTAAGTGATGATCAATAAAAAGTACAGACAGTCCCGAGAACTTTCATGAATTTTTTGAAAACCATAGTTATCTTGATTATTTCCAAGACCATATGATTATTTTTGATTTTAAAATGATATATGAATGAGATGATTCAAGCAGGATCCAAATAAGAAGTTCGATTAATGACATCATAACATCATAACAATAAAAACTAAGAACGAGCGTAAGAAACTAAGATATTTTGAAGGAAATCGAAGTGCCAAGACTAAGACTTGCTTTATTTCTTCTTTACATTTCAGCGAGCAAGAGACGTGATATTTTATGCATTATTATGATCTTTTTGAAGTTCTGCTATGATTCGTGGACAAAGTTCTTGCGGGTTGTTTTCATTTGGAAATGCTTCCATTACGGTTGAGACGATTTTTTCCGGGAACAACTGACATAATATATTTTGTAACCGGTGCCGTTCGTTTATTATCGTTAGATAAGTTGGTTCAGATGGTGATCTGGAAATATTACATATCCTACTTCGTGCAGGTACAAGCTTAGATATGACAAATTTTAACTTTCCCGTGTCCTTTAAAACTCATTATTTTTTAAACACAGATCAAATTAACATGATCGGATAAAGATGTTTCTAAGCCCTGCAAAGAAGACAACAATTCGAATTAGCATTTTACAATTTGTTAATATGAAATAAAGAAAGCATTTGCCTTATTAACCTCAATTTCGATTCTTTCCAAATAGCTGTCGATGGGGCAAGCAAATGTGAAGATCTGATAGTTTGCATTCTATATGCATTGCTTGAGGTACCCGAATTTGGAATAAAACACTGCGGTGACGATAAACCATCACATGAATCGGAACATGATTCTTTGCCTGGAAATGTGCTATTATAACACTTCAATTTAAAAAAAAATTTCAATTAAAATTTAAAGGATCTAAAAAGAGCACCTGTTAACAATGAATGATTATAATTATACCAAGTTTTTAAGTTATTCCATTCTACTTGAAAAAGAGTATAATATGAAATTTTGAAATGAATATTCTAAAATAGTCTACAACCATATCGTTTATTCTAGATATTAGTAAGGGTAGTATGGTTCGAGATATCAAGTTTACAATGAATGGTTAGTTATTTCACTCCTCCTTGAAGCCGAAAAGAAAACATTTCCTCCTATGCTTCATTATGCGATGAATTTCCCGAATCAAAATCAATATAAATTCAGCAACTCAATTAATTTTTAATTTGATGAAAAAAAAGAACACGAGTAATTAACTAGCATCAATACTTGTAGTGTGTAAGCAATTAATTATGATGAGAACAAAGAAATTTTGCAAGCTCTGAATTTTGGACTTTTTTTAAAACTATGCTCTGAATTCTTTAACAAATATAAGATTTTTCAACATTTCCCAAAAGTATATTCCATTTTTCACTAAAACTTTTAGTTCTTATTGCATTTTTCAATCTCAAGAAAAGAAGAAATTAGAAACAATTTGAAAGAAGCATACCATTAGGATAAGGTAAACCGATATACGGATAGGAGAGATGATATACGGGAGGTGTTGCGGTTCGATTATGACAGTAAGGAGTAACATTTGTTGCAGCTGGATTATATCTCATTATAGGCGTTAAAGGTAAGGAAGGCTTTGAATTCATCACTTTCGGTAAATGATTTGATAAGGTGGAGCACTGCTGATCTCGAATTTGATGAGTCCAATCTAGTGACAATGGTGGATTCTGAAAAAATGGAATTTTTGGTTGGATGATAGAAACAGGAAGTTGAGAGGAGGTAGGGATTGCATTGAGAGGAGGTAGGGATTGCATTGAGAGGAGGTAGGGATTGCATTAGGATTGTAGGGATTGCATTCTTGTCGCTTCCTTCTGATGATAATTCAGTGAATTCTACATCAGTATCTAAAATTTAAGTTTCAATTCCAAAATTGAGTTGTAAAAGTTAATGTATTAAGAGAATTTGGAATAACTTACCTTATCATCGTCATATATAATCATTTGCTCCGAAGTTGATGTATTTAAGTTTTGCGTTCGAGCAACTTCTGGATGATCCAAATGTTCATGAGGAATTACCACTGGCTGATGAGATATGTCTGGAAATGTATGTTTGATCCAGATTAAAAGGATGAAGATTCTGGTAGAGGAGGTAGGGGTTGCATTCTTGTCGCTTCTTCCTGATATACGGATTGAAGTTTAAATTCTAGAGATTAATACGGAATCCATTGAATTATCATCGGAAGGAGAAACGACAGGATAGCTATCTCTAACTATGAACATATTATCATGCATAGGTTTTGTTTAGTTAAGAATAGAATTTTTTTTTTAGGAAAAACATTTGGAAAGGAAGATTGAACAAATAAAGTTCGTTATAAAAGAACAAACAGGTAGAATGAAATTGTCTTCGTTGTTTTTCTTTCATCAATCGATCCGTAACACTGATATGAATACCGTTCGGTCTTTCCGGATGATAATATCTGGAGAAAGATGAGAAAGTTATTTAAATTTCGCAGTAATTAAGCGAAATTTTTCCATTTTTATATGGGAAATTTGAACATTTTTCATTTCTTGTTTCAATTTACAAAAATTATTCACTTTTCGAAGTTTTAACTTTTCCAATTTTCTTACAAATATGTTTAACTTCGGTAACAATTTTTCATCAAATCTCACTTGCATTTATTCCCGTAAGTGCATCTCCGTGCATATGGACAAACTTGAGACTGAGATTGTCGATTTCCCTTTGTCAAAAATTGTGCTAAATTTGGTCCATGTCTTCCAAGTGGATCATCGGGTGGCATGAACCTTGCAAAAACAAGCCAAAAAAGTCTTTGGGAATTTCGAAATGCAAAGATATTATATGTAAATATAGCATAGATATTACACGAATAGAAGCTTAAAATATTCTTTCCTACCGCAAATTTAGTTAGAATTCAGATTTCTTTCAGAAATGTTGCACTAAGCAATTCCCAATAAAATTTCATTCGAAAAAAAATATGTTTGATAAAAAAAAACAATTAATAAAAATGACATGATAATTAAAATTCTGAGACAATTATAATTACAATAAAATAAATTGGAACAAAGTACGCCTGTTAACAAATGCATCGAAAATGCCATAGAGATCATTCTATCAAAACTTTAAAATTATTACCATCAAAATCCAGAAAACGACTGTTACTTTGATTACAAAATGACCATTTCTAAAGATCACTTTGAAAGAGAATAAAATTTCTGAAGATATATAAAACAAAATCATACCTTCCATCAACGAATGAATACATTAAAAGCCTTTCATCGACTAATGTACGATACTGTGGGTTTTCTTTGATTAAATCTCTATACTCGTCATTACTTACTACTACCGCATTCTTTTCTTCTGCTGTTTTCAGGATATATCGGTCATCATGACACACAATTCGTCGTCCATTAATGTGACGCGATGGTGTCCATACCTATAAATTACTTTTACTTTATTCATTCAATCAGTTAATTAAAGAAGAATAGTAATATCAAAATTATCTTCACTATTTTCTCCTTCACCTTTATCAGAACTTTTTAAATTCAATCTTAAACTTTCAAAATAATTGGCAAAAAATCAGATAAAGTCTTGATGATAGGTTGTAAATTCAGTATTTTTTTAAGATGAAAGAAAGAAACCGGATTCTTTCTCGGACCAGCACTTTCTCTTTTGGAATTTCAAGGTCAAGCAAAATTTTAACACTCTCCATTACCATTATTCAATAGAAGAGAGAATGAAATAGGAAAAGATAAGATGACACTTACCAGGACATTTTCTTTTTCTAATTCAAACAGTATATACTGATCGGTGATTGGACAATCTGAACGAGGTGTTTCACGTCGAAATTGCGGAACGAAAACAATTATATCCGTATGGCCACGATTGCGAAAAAATTGCACACATTCACGTATACCACGACAAGAAAATACTTCCTTGCGGCCATATCTAAAAATTTCCATAACTTATGCTTACGGTAACCTCTATCCCATTATTTGACTAATAAATTAATAGTGTTAAAAAGATAAAATTTTCCTGATAATACATGCAGCTCCACTAAGCTTCTGTAAATGCAACAAGCAAAAGACTCCGTTTATTGTGATAAAATCTTTATATTGAATTTCACATGGACTCATCTCGAAATGCTCAAATCTGATAGCATTGTTGAATGGATAAGAAGTGATAAGCTGGCAAAAGAATTCATCTAAATTTGAAGTGATTTTATGAATCATTGCTATTTAGCTATTGAATGAATAATTTTAATTGTATATATCAATTAGTTGTAGTTTTCTGATACTTTTGAATTGTTTATCAAAAGAATATTCAGTTGTCGAGGAATATTTTTTTTATAAAATGAAAATGAAAAGAAGAGAGATTTCATATAGAATTCATATAGAGTTCATATAGAGTTCATACAGAGTTCATATAGAGTTGATATATAGTTTATATAGACTTTATATAGAGTTGATCAAAAATAAAAGTAATAATCGCTGTACTTTTAATTTAATTTATTAATAATCGAGTTATTAATAATCGAGTGTAAATTGATAAATTTCAGGAATTATTATAACAAATTCTTCCTGATATCACATTTCAGAGATTTAGTTTATCAGAAGTTGTGAATTTTCTTTATTTAATTAAAAAAAATAAACTAAAATAAACTAAGTAAATCCGACCAATTTCATCATTATCTAATATTACGCTAATCAAAACAGATTTGATAAACATTGATGGATTTTCAGCGATTCCTTTTTATCGTACCGCTGTAAATTCATAAATGTATATCATATCCTTTTTTTTTGCAAATAAAACTGCTCGGAAAATATGAGCAAATGAACAAAAGTGATTAGAAATTATTATTAATTTATATTTGATTCCAATCTCTTTCTCATTGTTTTCTTTTTATAAAAAATCTTTATGAACTCAAAACTCAAATTTCCCATTCGTTAAGATACGACAGGTGCAAGAAATAAACTCATCCAGTCTTAATGCTTAAACAAGAAATTAATTAATTATATTAGCTCCAAAAATGTCATTTCAATAATTCACTTCCGACTACAAAATGAAGATCATTAATAAGTTGTAAGGTATCAATGCTATCAATGCTGGAGAGAATCTTGAAATTGTTTAGTAAAGAATTAATTTTGCGGTTATGGATCATTAATACTATACATGATTTTTTTATATCCAATTATATATCTGATATGATTGTTAGCTCTTAAAGCGTTCAATTACAACTATCTTTTAATAGTTTACCTTTAGTGGTAAGATGTTAATGTTAATTAATAAGCTTGCATGTAATTTAAAAGTGGGCATTCAAATAAAGTACATGACAAATGAATGAAACAAACGTCATAGCGATATTGGAACCATCGATAACGATACTGCGAAGTTCTGTGGTAGGTGTGCTTGATGACTTACTTTCAATCACTTTCGAACCTCGATCCATCATTCCAGGTCCAAGCTTAATCAGCTCATCAAGTATCTGATCCTGAAACTTAATTTGTAATTGAAATAAAGTAAATGATTGTGCTTTTAAATTCATTTCGAAACTTTGATCTTTAATAAAATTAATTGAAATGTAATTACTATCAACCCACCGTGCATCTTTTTTCCTCTATTTGACATACAAATTTGTGCCAGAATTACTTTTTTAAGCACAAGCATCATTCCAAAAGAGGTTAGTGACCCATAGAAAAAGGTACTGGTCATCTCTTTGACAACAAGGTTATCTTTCTTCGCCATAGTCTTATTCAAAATGTCAACATTTTTGATAACACAATAAAAATATTAGTGCCTAACAATCTTTGCAAGATTCATCTCCCAAATCGGAATTGTAGTCCGTAAACGTTTATGGATGCGCAACTCTAGCACTTGGTATTCAGATTTTTACATTCCGTAAAGAGTTATTATGAATGATTAATAGAACTGCACTCGCGAAACATAGAATAATAACCTGTAACCAGCTGCTAATTCAGTATGATGAAGTTCAGTTGATTGAAGAAAAGAACAAACTCTGACATGGTTTGTCTAAATAAAAAATAAAAAAGGGATGCAAAGGGAGAACATTGGAAATCATTGAATTAAAGACGGAAATGTTTTCAGGAAGTTGCACCATCGATAGTTTTTCACTTTATGGCGCATACAAAAGAATATTACCACTTCAAAATATATTGGAAGAAAGTTACCTCTTTCCTGTTAACTTCTCACATTGAAAATGTTTACATTCAAACTATCCTTTTTCGTTCTTAACATAAACAATACATTTGAAGTGATAATTTTTGAAGGAATGTTATAGCAAATTGATAATAATTATTAACTTTAAAAAATTCTCAGTGACGAATTTAAATTTGATCTTAATCCGTTTTTCCAGTCTAACTAAATTGGAATTCTCATCTGTACCAGCCTAACTAGATTGGATAGTAATCTGAATTAAGTGATTCTTTTGCTGAATGTTTTATTATTCCATTTCGTTGATAAAAAACTTTCAAATATGCTAAAATGCATGTACTGAGATATCAGATATGGCCTACCATTTCAATCATATTTTTTACCCACAAATAAATGAAACAGTTAATAACGTAGTTTAAATGAAATTAATAAGTAAAGAAAATACAGTTGGAAATGAATTAAAAAGGAGTGAAATTAATCGAATTTGAATTTTTCTAGTTTTCCTACCTGTCTGGCATTCATTCCGAGTTTTCCAAGAACTATTTCTAATTGCTCCTTAGAATATCCGAGTCGTGTCGCAAAATCGATATTTTGGAGAATAAGATGTTGCTGCTCAATTATACTATCTGCCGTACTTGATTCTTTATCAGTCACGCTCAATTTTACAGTTTCCTTCATAATACCATTCGATGGTTCCTGCGATAACGAGCTATGGGATTCTTCCGAGCAGCTCGAATAGCAGGAGTCATGCGATTCCACCACATTCTCGGATTTTGTCCCTTTGCTGCTGAAGTTTGTAAATGATTTTGACAGAACTGAATCGTAGAAAAACTGAGGACAGGAATTTAACCCTTACCTCTCCAACAACCAACACTGTTAAGGAGTAATAGGATTAGAACTAATGAAATCAAATAACAGTAAATGACTTGGCCATATTTCTAATATTATCCATTGATTTTGAGCCAAATCATCTGGCGTTTTTGAAACTACATTTTAATCTAACAGAAAAAGTAACGCCTGGCTTCGAATAAATTACCTGACTGGTTGAT